AGCAAAGAGACAGACAGTACCAAGTTCCGGCGAGGAGGAGGGGCCGGTGGGGCCCCCGTACGGTGAGGGTCTGGGGTCCAGCCACCTCGAAAGCCAGTTTGGCAGCGTTGACTTGAGAGGACAGCTCACAGGTCCCATGAGGTGGCCATGCCGTTCCGTCCCCAGGAAGGGACCCCACGGAGGCGCCCCCGTGTATTCACCAGGACACGTGCAAAAGTGTGCACAACACGAGCCCCCGTGAGACAGGAACCGGAAACTACCAAACGCCCATCAGTGGAGCGCAGGGCAGCCTGTGTGTGATGTCTGCTGAACAGAATGATCTACGGCAGCCGAAACAAGCGGGGTGCAGCCGAAACCCACACGACGGTGAGATCTCACAAACGTAGCTTGAGGAAAGGGGGCCAGATGCCCACGAGCATGAATCTCCCTGCTTGGCAGCGCAGCTTCTGAAACAGGAAAAGCCACCCACTGGGGGGCAGCTGGGAGGGGGCACAGGGGTCCTCCGGGGGCTGCGATGCTGCTTCTCCATTTATTCCGGGTGCAGAGACCGTTGCTCCAGATTTACTCAGCGAACGTTCACTCTTACAAATTCGTGCCTGTTCTGCACGGGTATTGTTGCTCGGTAGAAAACTAAAAGTAGCCCTGGCTGGTGTGGCTCGGTGGATAGAGCGCTGGCCTGCAAACCAAAGGGTCGCCGGTTCGATTCCTAGTCAGGGCACATGCCCTGGTTGCAGGCCAGGTCCCCAGGTGGGGGCACCCAAGAGATAACCACACACTGATGTTTCTCTTCCTCTCTTTCTCCCTCCCTTTCCCTCTCTCTAAAAATAAATAAAATCATTAAAAAAAAAGTAAATGGTCACACAGTCTTGACCAGAGGAGCTGCCCGTGGGAACCCGTCCTGAAGCAGCCATGGGCACTGCCACTCCTTCGGTGACTCTGCTGTCCCTGTCACCTGCTGTCTTCTGTCTCTCCCGACTGCCATTCTCCCCACCTGACGGGTGTCGCGTGCTCGCTGGGTTCCTTTGGTTGACTGTGTCTCTCTGCGAGGGTGTGGGAGAGCCGTCAGTCTCTCTCCCTGCTGCGCACCCTGTTTCTGGAACAGGCTGGGTGCCGTCAGAGCTGAAGTCCGTGAGCACTGAAAGGCCTGGTCGTGTGCGTGGCATTTGCCACCCGGTGAGGGAACGAGGTTGAATTCTGGGGAGCGCTTTACCTACCCCCGTGTGCTGTCCCCATTTCTAAATCTGGGCTCAGGAGTAATCGGTGCTCGTCAGGGGAGCGTTCGGATGACAAGCCAGACGAGCGCTGGGGACTTGACAGTGAAGGTGCACCCCATAGCCGATGGCAGGCGCAAGAGGTCACAGCTGGGCAAAGCCCAAAGAGGAATGTTGAGGCCAGTCCACCGGCCTCCCTGCTGCTCACAAGGCCCCTCTGGCTGAGGACAGGCGGCAGAAGCGGTGGCAGGTCCCTGCGCCACGAGAGTGTCTTCCGGCGGTGCAGGACAAGGCCTGCTCGGCCCCATCACCAATGTCACACCTGCACACTCAGGCTTCGAGCCCGGGGACCACTTAAGCCCCCGGAACGTCACCGGGCCCCTTGCACGGGGCAAGCGCCCGGCCGCCTGTCTCTGCAGGGCTTCGGCGGGGCCCTGCTCAGTGTCATCAGCGGGCCGACCCCGAAGATAAGGAGTCTCCGCTTGGCCCCACTAATGGTGTTATTTTAGGGACCACTCAGAAGGACCGGCGCGGACGGGGGTTCGGGGCACCTGTCACCCTTCCCTTCATCAGCACACTCAGTGAGGGCCGAACAAAGACCCTCGTTCGGAAGGCCGGGGGGGCCCTGTCCAGCCAGAAGGCCATTCTCCCGGACAGTGGCTGGGGGGTTATGTGCTCAGAGCGACTGTCCCCCACCCCGAGGCCCCCCCACCTCAGCTGACCTACCACCCACAGGCCGAGGTGTGGGGTCAGGTGAAGGGTCAGAGCCGTTGCTGTCCAGCTCTGCCCTCAGCGAGGGGGTAAGACGAGGTCTGCTAAAACCTCCTAAAATAGAGAGACCCTGGGTCTGGATTCACTTACAAAGGGTCAGAGCTCAAATATGTCATTTCTCTGCTGGCACTAGCGACTGCAACCATTTTTATTCGGCATTTCTATAACTTAATTAAGTTGGATATGCACCATCGAGGGTCAAGTACAAGGGCGTAGGCCCCTGAGCAAAGGGTGGCCCAGGTCTGCAGCCCCCGCCCCCTGCCACTGCCACCCGCCACTCGTCCCTCACTGCTCACACCAACACACACGAGCTTTCTTTGTGGCATTAAGTAAGGACACGTGTCGGGGAGGACATGGATCAATGTCAGCCTCATTGCCCCCAGTGTCCCCCAGCTGCATCCCTTCCTGGATCAGGAAATGAAATGTGGAGGAGACAGCCACCGGTCCAGGGCGGAGTCAGCAGTCAGCACCCTGCTGCGTTCTCCACTGGGAAGACATGTCCCTGGGGACCTGGAGGGAGCCAGCCGAGAGCCCCTGGCTTGCCTGTGACATGGGAGGGGGAGCAAAGGCCCCTCCAAGGACGGTCAGCCCCGCAGGCAGGGCCCAAGTCTCCCGATTCTGGGCCTGTTAGTAACAGGAAAACACCCAGCAGACTCGTCTCAGGGGCACTGCTGTGGGCCGAGCCCTGGGGCAGCACAGTGACCAAAACAGACGAGGGCTCTTGTTCCCTGGAGGGTCAGACAGGCACCAGCCATAGAAATTGGGAAAATGTTCTGTTTTGGGGGGTGGCGGTGAGCACAGTGGAGAGAAAACAAGGGGGACAAGGGCAAGGGCAGCCCAGCAGTGATGCTGCCATCAGCAGGGACCAGAGGACGTGCGCACAGGGCCTGACATTGCTTATGGAATGGTCTGCGGCCGTCTGGAGGCACAGCGCTCCTGGTGAGGGGCAGAGCATGTGCAAAGGCCCTGTGGCAGGAGGGCCCCTGGGCCAATGGCGTGGAGGGGGTGCTGCTGGAGCCGAGTGTGTGGGAGAGGAGAGGGGCCTCGTTGAATTGAGTTCGGTCTCAATTGCTGGTTCTCAACTGAGAGCAATTGTGCCCCCCCCAGGGGACAGGTGGCAATGTGTGGGGACATGAGTGGCTGTCACAATAGAGGGGTGCTAGCTACTGGCATTTAGTGGGGAGAGGCCAGGAAGGCTGTACACCCTAGAACGCGTAGGGCACCCCTTGTGATGGAGATTAACCTGGCCCCAAATGTCTGAGTGTCATACCTGAGAACCCCTCTCGCTGACCACCCTTTGCCAGTGACAGGCCCCCTGCTGGCCTTGACGCTGTCCCTGGGCGGCTGTCCCCAGCCCTGCAGGCCTGGCTGTGACACAGGGGACTTCTGAACACTCTGTCCTGCTCCTGCCCAACACCCTCCTCGACCGGCCCTGACTTGGGTGCCTCCTGTCTCCTCCGGGCCCTGGGCCAACCCCCTCCCCAGCTCCACAGGGTCTCCCCTCTCCGGAATGGCTTGCGGGCTTGCCCACTCTGCCTGGGGTTGGACATGCATCCGAGACAGTGGGGCCTCCCCTGTCCCTTGGTCACAGTGTGTCTTCTGTGCCCAGAACACAGTTTGCAGTGTGTAGGTGCCCCAATGACCAGAGTGACGTCAGGCCACGTGGTCGGAGCAGTGGCCCCGGGAGCAGGTCCTCCGGGAGCAGCGTGGGGAGAGGCGGCAATGAAACAGGTGCTGTAGTGGGATGAGCAAGAAGGGAAGCAGCAGGGGGAGGGGCGGAGGGCAGATGGGGCCGCCTGTAGTGCTGCAGCCAGTCACACCAGCCCACGGGAGCCTGGCTGGGCGTTAAAGGGGGAAGGAAGCCAGGGGTGCACGGGCCAGGTTTGTTGTCGCCTCTTCTCCCTGCACGTGTGGGCCTCTCAGTCCAGCTTTTACTCTCCTACTCTTAAGAGGAACAAGTAAATAGATATCGACAATTTTTAACATAGCAACTGACATTTGCACCTTTGTGAGAGGCAATAGGGAGTAGTGGAGACTGCGGCAAGAACTGTTCTCTGGCTTCAGCCCAGAGCTTCCATGCAGGAAGGGGGCCTAGTGTGGCCAGATGTGCCAATGTCTCAAGAGGAGCCGGAATTTGGAATTTTTCCCTCACCCCAATCTTCTTATTTTCTAAAGCATGCTGGCAATGAACTCGCTTTTTTTAAAAGATGTGTAAACACCAGGCAGGGCCCCATCTGGCCCTCTGGTGTGCATTCTGGGCTTGAGCCTGGAAACAGGACAAAAGCAAATTGTGTGTCAGGATGATTACGGGCGGGTTTGGAAATCCCAGGCACTAGGACTTGTTTAGAGCCACCGCTGGTTTGAGGCACCAGGGAAGAGAGAGCGGCCTGGCCAGGGAACAGCCGATATCCTAACATCCATCAGGTGACCTTAGTGTACACTTCACAGCGAGAAGGACCCCGTGTGGCCGCTCTGCACAGGCAGGGCCGTCCTCAGCTGGGGCCTAGAACACGCGGCCCCCACCCACCGCAATGCTCCGCACTGGACAGTGTCCACTCTGGGGCCTGTGTTGCTTTAAAGTTTTGGGTGTACCCTCCCCTCCCACCTTTTTTTCTTTCCTTCTTGTGCCTCTATTTTATTGGGATGACTAAACCTTTCAACTATGTTCGCAGTAAACAGAGCTAATTTACCCCCCGCCTCTCTGAAACAGCTGCTGGCAGCTGCACTCTGGGTAACCCAGGCAGGGACCTTTGTAGTCGAGCCTACGAGACCATGTTGGTTGTTGGGCCCCATCTCTCCTGCCCCGAGCCCCACACAGCTGCACCGCATCCTCACGCGTGCCCACCGCCCCAGGGCCCGGAGGGTAAACAGCATGTGAACAGTGGGGGCCCGGCAGAGGGTTCTCACAGCCAAGAGAACACCAGTGTCCGGGGTTGAGAAAAACAACAGAGACACGTACACAGGCCCAAGAAGCAGAACCGAATGCCTCCTTTAATTGCAAAGTCAAAACCCTTTTTATTTCGTCTATTTATACAGAATTCTCGCCAAGGACTGCTCTGTGCAACAGCTGGAGATACACGGGTCCGATCGTTAATAAATAGTCTTAAATAAGAAAATAAGCAGGTTGGGGGTGGCGAACTCATCGTCCCAAACAAGCAACTGATGGAGGGTCTAGAAAGAGCTTCTGATGGACATAAATAATTTCTTTTGTAACAACTATTTACACATTTCAATGTACAAACGAGGCTAACCAGAGGCTGTTTGGCATAACAGGGGAGAAAACTTGCACCAAGAGGGCGTCACAGGAAAATCCTCAGATCTGCCAACAGATGAAACAAAATGTAACAAAAACCACAAAAACCGCAACTCTGCCCTGTTGACCAAGCAGAGCGAAGGCTGCAGCCCAAGCTACTGAAGAAGAAAAAACAAAAGGAAGTAAAAAACAAAGTTTCCCCAAAGTTTCCAGTGACCCACTGAATCATGGAGGAAAAACAGCTCCTCCCCCCAGAGCAGGCTTTAGGGACCTACTGGGGAACCCTGGTCTTTGTTCACAGACAGCTCCATGCATTGCAAGCCCTGTGCTGGAGCTGGGGGCAGGGTGGGGTGCACACGATTTAGGGGGGCCCACTGGACACAGTGAGGAAGGCTTTGGCCAAGAGCCATATCAGAAACAGCACCTTTAAGTCAGGACACTAGATTAGAACACCATTGTCAAAACGCTTCTAGGTCCTTCCATTTGAGATTCACGCCCAGCACACCCGACACCCAGCATCCCCCCCACTAGCCTTCAAGGAGCCGACTGCTTGCAGAACCCCCAGTAGGGGTCTGCCAATGAAAAGAGGGGGGCCTCCTTAGGCCCAGTCTGAACCCAGACTTCAGAACACGGCCAGCAATGAACAACAGACGATCCTCCTTGGGGCATAGATGGCAGCCCTAGTGAGAGCTAGGTTTCCTTGGCGCTTCTTTAAACAGGGCCACATGGGCCAGCGGTCAGGGTCAAGTTGCAGGTTCTGGCCGAATGCTGCCATCCTCCAGGCTGCCCTTCACGCTGCCGTCCTGGCATGGAGGGTGCGGGAGAACCACTCGCAAACATCTGCCAGGGCTTCAGTGACTACTTTTAATTTCTGCCACCCCACCCGGCGCTGAACTACCAAACGGGCTTCCTTCAAGGTCAACATGCCCCTTCCTCTGAGCAGAAATTTGCCCCTTCCCTCCCTGGCTGAATCTTGGATTTGGGCAAGTCCATGTGAACCCCAGGTCTCTGGAAACCTCAGGCAAAACCCAAATGGACTAAAGGGAGGGGGCCTCTCCCCCGCGCTCCGCCGGCCACAGCTTCTGTTTATGAAATCAGAGTAAACCAAGAAATGGGAATCAACTGTTTAGGAAAATATATCGGTAACATCCTAACCATTTTCATTCATTCGTTTTATTGGGACATTTATTACAGGAACTTCCGCGTCACTCTTCCTCGGGCACAGACGCCCACGTGCCCACCCCTCGCCATGTCCTTTTCTGCCGCTGCTGGGCGGTCTGGCCAAAGGGCGCCCCTAGTCACCCCGGGGGCCGGTCAGCACCTGGCTGAGACGTCGCAGCCCGTGACCGTGGGGGGCAGTTTCTCTTTATACGTTTTTCTTCCTGTTAGGTTTTGCCTACAGCAGCAGGTTGGGTTTGGTCCGTAGGGTGACGATAAAAAACTGACTGAAAGCCACTTGCCGCTCAAAGTCCCTGATGCTCCTGCACCGTCCAGGTTGGCGCGGGCGACTGGAAGGTGCGGCAGAGGGCGGTCGGTCTGCTGGCTCCTTGCTGCGGTGGGCGGTGGGGCCGTGGGGTGGGGAGATGTAGGACCCCAGAAAACGCGGCCCCCCAGGGCCTCACTTCCAGGGGGGCTAGTGGCAGCCACAGGCCCGCACGACCATGTTTCTGTATTTCTTCAGGATGACATTGGAGCTGTCATCGAAGTAGAGGACAGAGATGGCGTTGAGCTGAGTCGGGGCGCAGCAGGGCTTGGGCACCGTGTCCGGGTTGATGAAGTGCACCTGGAACACACACACCAACATGTTGGCCACAGTGAGACACAGCCCGTGTCTCTCGGGCTTCCTTACATCTACAGGCACAGGTACTGCTTGGGCGAATGACCTCGGCGACACTCACTGAGCATGCCCAGAGCCAGAGCTGTCTACGGGAAGAGAGGGGCGCTGCCCTGGGCACTGTAGGGTGTTAACAGCACCCCTGGGCTCCAGGGTCTGAAGCACGCCACCCCAGCCCCCATTCATGACGTCTGAAAAGGGCGGCTAGACGTCGAATATCCCCGAGGGACAAAATTGCCCTCTCGTGGGGAACCACTGGGCTGGACCAGGGTCAGCCTTCGGGCCCAACCCAGCCCCACTCCCCAGTTTTGTGAATAAAGCTTTATTGGCACCCGGCCAGGCCCAGTCCCAGGGCCACATCTGGGTTCGAGGGCCGAGCTGAGCGGCGGTGACTTTCAACTCTCGAAGTCAAAGTGTTTACTCTCTGGCCCTTTTCAGAGACGGGTGGCTCTCTTGTTCAGGGAAAGCGTGATGCAAAAATGTGATCCCACAGGTAACTCTCAAAGTTCCCACAGCCACGATTAAAAACTCAGGGAAGAAACAGATGAGATTAATTTAAATATTGCACAGGCCGAGTGCCTGGTCACTGAATTGGATGGCGCTGGGCTAGACCCCACTGGGCTGCTTTGCCTCTGGAACAGCAACAATAAGAGGAAAGGCAGGTGGGCCAACACTTGGGAGACATCAACAAGAAAGGGGCAGGTCCCGATCCAGGAATGAAGAAAGAAGCCGGCCAGTTGCTCAGGTTTGCTGCTCTGTCTCACTCCGGGGTTCTGTGAGCCTCACAGAGGATGAGGGGCAGGAGCCAACAAACTCGATGCCTACAGGGACCACAGGGCGGTTGCTAAGGAGTGAATGAGGCTGGGAGTGAGACGACAGGGAAGAGTGAGGACTGGGGCAAACTAAAGGTCTCTCTTCTTCAGTCACAGGCTGACCCAGACTGACCTCAGCAACCAAAGCCCATGCGATCAGACAGGCTGGCTAATCCACACAGGCCAGGGGTGCGGCTGTTTTGTTTCTAGGGCAAAGGTCTGGGTTTCCAAAACACGCCATGAGCTCCTAGTGAGAGCACTCAGCTCATTGGCCTCGGCCTGGGGCCTCCGACTCAGACCTGCACCCCTTTTCTGAACGTTTTGCTGTGGACAGTTTCAAAGCCTAACGTCGAAACTGCCCCCCAGCTTTTCCGCCCAGAATAACTTTGAAGCAAACCCCAGATGTCAGCTCGTTTTGTTTGCATCTTGCTAGGACTCCCTGGAAGATAAGGAGTTGCCCCCTTTGAAAACAGGACCCCCATTTCAGAATAATCGAAGGATTCAGTCTGACTCTAGGGGTCTCTGGTGGAACACAGATTGAGCGGGTGGTCACAAGCCCACGAAGGTGGGGTCAGAGCGTAGAGGGCTGCCTGTCCTGGGCTGCCTGTCCTTGGCCACCTGGCAGACACTCCCGTCACCTCCCAGGGTCCTCAGAGCAGGGCCTGAGGGGGGACAGGGGAGTAGATCCAGGCTGCAGAGCAGGCTGGGCAACTGTTCATTTCTGGTGCAGGGGCTTTCCTCCCTGAATAAGCTTCGGAGTTTGCTGCTGGGGGAGGGAGGGAGAGGCTGGAAGAGCAACGTGTGGAAGAGGGACTTTCCCTCTAAGGGTGAGGCTGGTCCAAATGCAAGGACCAGAGGGGCTTTTCCTCCGAGACAGGACACGGGGGCAGGGACCAGGGGAGAGGGAGGCAGATGACCACACAAATGCAGTACGGAGCTCCACGACACGCAGGACCGTGGGACAGAGGGGTGGCCCTGGGCAGTGAGCTGCCTGTCCGCTGGAGCATTCAAGCCAGTGAGGATCACCAGTAGTCAGGAAAGGTCTAATGTGCACAGCAGGAAGCCAGGTAACCAAGAACCTTGAACCCCAGATTCGAGGCTAGAGGACAAAGCCCCGAGCTCTGACCGCAGCTGTCGCCGGTAGGGCAGGAAGAGCAGGACCTGTTTGTGTCCTCGCGCTGGGCGCCCTGCAAAGAGCTGTGACCTCGTCACCGCACCGACCCCTCCCATGACCCCGCGAAGCCCAACGGGAGCAGCCAGGTGGGGGCTCCCCAGCCCTTCTCTTTAACATCCTGATGCCCTCTTGGCATCTTCCGGTCACTCCCCACCTCTCTGGTTTCCTCATCTGTTCACTGATCGTTTCCCCCCTCCGATAACGAGGCCCCGAGGCAGGGACCGCAGCGGTCCACCTGTTTCTGAGCTGTCCCCTGCTCCCTGGTTGTCCCTACAGGTGGGAGACCCTCAACTAGCACAGTGAACACCCCTGCAGGACTGAAGTTCAACGTGCGAGGCTAGGAGGGGGACGCCAAAGTCGTGGCGGGATCAGGTGGGGGGACAAGCTCTCGAGCCCCCCACCCAGGGGCAGACCAGGCACCATGGGTCAGGGATAGGCCTACTGACACGGAGCAGACAGACTGACAGCCCAGCACAGTGGCCCCCAGACAGGCAGGGCCAGGGCCACTGCTCCATCGGGCCCATTGACAGTTGCCCACCAAACTGTTCCAATTTCTTTTAAAATTAGAAGAAATAGATAAAATCTAGGGACCTTGGGGTCAAACATCAAACACATCTTTACGTCAACCCAGTAGCAAAAGATAACTGTCGACCTTTTTTTAACAGAGGAAGGGGCCCTCGAGATCTCTGGGCCCAGCCCGAAGAAGGGCAGAAGGACTCGGCGGCCGCACTCACCAGTGTCTGCACGATGGCGTGGTTGGTGGCGTTCATGTAGGAGTTCAGGGGGAAGGCGCACTCCCCCTCGCAGTAGTAGGCAGCGTAGCCCTCAGGTGCGATGATCCAGTCCTGTAGGGAGGGGAGCGAGCGGGGGCGGGGGGGGGGGGGGAGGGCCGGGGATCGGTACCCTAAATCCCCCCACCCTGGTTAGGACCCTTGACAGCGGAGTCCTAACTGACCTGGATGGAGGGGAAATGCGACTTCCTGCACATAGACAGGGGCACAGCCCACAGCCTTGCGGGAGCGGGGGTGGGGGACCGGCACCACGTACCTGCCAGCCCAGGTCTCGGAAACTGACGTACAGCTCGTGCTTCTTGCAGGCCTGCCTCTGGTCAGCGCTACTGTTCTCTGCTCGGCGGGGCAGATGGCGGAGAAGAGCACAAAACGCACGGGCGTCAGTCTCCTTGCAGCCGAACACCCATGGCTACGGGGCAGCTTTTCAGCCATAAAGGCCTTCAAATGCATCCCCCTGACCAACGGCCCCCCAAGGAAGGTGCCAAGGCCCCCCTCCCTCCCACCACACAGCCTCCGCTCACAGAGCCTCCTGGATCCTTCTGAGGACACTGGTTTCTTTTATACACAAATGTGGTTTAGATGCTGACATCCGCCTGGATTCCGCAAGGGAGTCAAAGCCCATCCACATCCCACACCGGCTGCCCAGAGGGGCCAACCCAGTGGGGGTTTGGCCAGCCTCACTATGGGAGGTCAGCCCACCCCACAATGACCGGAGAGGGTACCGACAGGGCCTGGGACAAAGCCCCCGTCACTACTACCACCGAGAGTAAACAAAGAGCACAAAGTCGGATTCCACGAGCTTCCAGAAAAACCCACTGCTGAGGTCTCGGGGGCATGAAAATGAGGCCCTGGGACTTTCCAGAAGTGTGTGCAGTTCGCAGACTTGGGGGTTGGGGACTGAGGGACTAAACATGTCGAAATTTCTATCTCTGTCTCTTGGACAACACCTCTCCCCCCCTTCCTGCCCTGCCACACACAGCTACCTTTGGCCTTTGGGCCTTGAGTTTCAACATGAAGCCAAATATCACTGCTTCGCTTTAAGACAGGGCTGGAGAGTGGCACTCAGGTTGCTGCCTGCCCCTCCTCTGCTCCCAGCAGACATCGCTAATCAATTGCGGCACATTCTGCTCACTGAGCTCTCATACAGCTCTGTATCGTTCTTTACATGGTGCCAGCACCAGGCAGCTGGTGCTGTTGGTGCAGAAAGGGAAGGAAAGGGGCGCTTGAGAAGTAGGTCCCAGGGCCACTGCCCCTCCTGTCCTGCCCCTCCTGTCCCTCCTGCCCCAACAGCCAGGTGGCCAGCAAGCAAGGGGAGGCAACACTGCTGCTTCCTCCGCCCCGGAGCCCGGGCCCCAGCAGCCGACAAGTTCCAGCTGGTGCTGGGGCTCAGCCCCTGCCCTAGGGTCACCTGGTGAAAAGGGCCAATTACCAGGGAGCTGGGGCCAAACGTGGGCGGGGAGGGGGGCAGCAACCCAGTCTCTCAGTCCCGAACCACAGCCCGAGTGGAGCCCTGGATGGCCTCGGGGTGGGGCAGCCCTCGGGACAGAGCACCCGGGTGGGCAGCAGGCGGCAGCTTGTCTCCTTCCGGCGCACAAAGGGCTGCCGGGAGAGCGGGGCTGACGTGCGTGGCCGGCAGCAGGGCCCCAGCTCTTCACTCAGGTAAAGTCCTTCACACGGGCATGTGCACGCACGCGTGTGCAAACACACGCAGGGTCTGCCTTACTGAGCCCGTGGTGGGGCCCAGGCCTCCGTATTCCTTTTCCTATCAAACTTCCAGGCAGGGTCTCCATGAACGTCAGACGGGGCCAGGAAGCAGAAATCCACAGGAAGGAGGCAGATGCCAGGCAAGGAAGAACAGCTGCCCTGTGAGGTAGTGAGAGACCCGTCCTGGGGGTGATGTAAATGGAGACTTGCCAGGGGGTTCATGAGGACGTGGCGGGGAAGTTGGGTCTTGAATCCTAAGTCTTTGAGGAAGCCCTGATGGAACTCCAGGACCCAGAGTCTTTGCTGGGATGGAATTTGCCAGCACTTCCTGCCTGGCTGATAGGGAAAGCCCCTCCTGGCCTTCCCCCCCCTCCCCCCAGATCAGCAGAAGGAGCAAAGGACGGTCTGACCACCCATACCCCACACCGTAGCTTGAAACTTGGCAAAGGCTTCCAAATTTGCTTTGGATGAAGTTCAAACTCAAGATGTGGATCCCAAGACACTTCCATTTGTTCATCTCAGCATCCCTCCCCTCCCCTCGTCCCAGCCACCACGTCCGTCCTTCTCCTCTCCCCTCACAGACGCCATGTGACCTCCCACCGCAGGTCTCCGCACCTGCAGTGGAGCCGACCCAGCCTGGCCTCCTGGGAACCTGCCCGCCCCCGAGCTCTGAGCTGGGAAGTCTTCTCTGAGCCCCCAAACTGTGAGTTCCTAGTCACCATGTCCTGACACTCAGGCCCCTTACAGTGTGGCCATCATGACGGCCACCTCCCGTGGTCCACTGTCCCCAGGGCACCACGGCTGGCTGACAATGTTGAAGCCCAGCCCCCAAGAGCCTGGCACGGAGGTTTCCAACAGATCAGGGGTTCAGTTTGTTTTCAATGTTGGGGGCCACAGACCCCTCTGAGAAAAGGATGACGCACCCGCCATAGAAGAATCCCTGCAGAGCCCCGAGCACAAACTCTGAGCCCCCACACCCACCGAGGTCCACTCATCTGGGGCCCCTGGGGGCCAGGGAGCCCACTCCTAAAAACTTCCCCACCCACAGCAGCCAACTTTTCTCTCCCTCGAAGAAGAAAATGAGCAGGAAGTTCAAAATCAGCTAGCTGAGATGAAAGACGCTGACAACCCGCGGCAGATTTGGGGGAGCGGCTGCTTTGCATAATCTAAATACGCCCACGTCCCCCTTCTGTGCTCCCCGGGACCAACCCCAGCCCCGGGAGCCAGGAGAGCAGACAAGCTCGGCTATGATCTCCCAGCACCCGGAGACGGACTCCGGCTAGAAAAAGCCATAATTAACAAGTGTTCCAGTTTGCCAGGAGTTTCCAATCTTTAAGAAATAAAGTTAAAGATACAGCAAAGGCCCCCACTCCTCCGCCTCCCCGGGGAGTTGGTGTGGCATCTTCCCACTCATCCTCCAGTCCTCCTCTTTTCTGCAGGCCCTGGCTCGTCTCTTTAGAAGCGCGGTTGGCGCCCGGTTATGCTCACGTTTTGGTACTTGCAATTCTGAATGAATTTATGACTTGTGCACAGTTAAGCGGGTGAGCTCTGGGCAGCAGCAGGGATGTGTGGATTTTGCCTCCTGCTGCATTGTTCCAGAACCATCTGTGGAGCGTGTGATTTTGAGTGGCTCCTCACCGGGCTCCCGCTGGGTCCCCGGAGTCTGCGTTTGAAGCCTCCCGCCCCGGGCGTACCTGCCAGGTTGGCCATCCGCAGGGCTTCCTGGTTCTTGGGCGTCTTGGAGCGGTTCTGGCCGCGCTGCCTGCCCCCTGTGGAGCGGGTGCTGCGCAGGTGGACCTCGGTGGCCTTGAAGAAGGCCACCATGAAGGGCTGCTTGTTCTGGGGCCCATGCCGCCCGATCAGGCCCGCCAACTTGAGGTTGATGCTCTGCCCTAGATCGGAAGCAGCCAGATGCGTAGAAGATGTGGTTAGCGGGGGTCTGGTGTGCGCCTCACGCTTCACTCACACACTCTTGTCCACTCACCCAGGCCCGGCTCTACACCCAGTCGTGTTAGGAGCCTAGGACACAATGGGGGACCACACCGAGAAAACTCCCTGGCCCTGGGGCAGGCTGGCAGGAAACTCCAACCACCAGGATCCCATGGTGAAAATTTGAAGCAGGGGAGGGTGAGGAGCCGGGCCGAGGTCTGCAGAGGGTCTCGGGTTAGAGGAGGTTCCACTCACATCTCTGTGGGCAAGGCAAGTCACATGATCCACCTGATCCCTAGAGGCGGGGGCGTCCTAGGCCAGACCAGGGAGGATGGGGGCAGTCACAAGCAGCCTGCATGTCTGCCACCCTCTCTGCACCAAAGGGCCACCTGAGCAGAGAACTGGGTAACCGAGGAGAGAAGTCTCATGGCCATTAGGGGAGAAGCCATTCCAGGCAGGGCACACTGGGAAGGCGAATGCCCAGAGCTGGGAGCCGGGGGGGTGGTGTTCAATGAGACTGGCCCCCAGTTGGAACAGAGATGGGGGTGGGAGGGCACAAAGGGAAGGTCATTTACTTGGTTGAATAGTGTGTCCTCCAGAACCTCAGGGTGTGACCTTGTTTGGAAAGAGTATCTATGCAGATGAAGTCAGTCGAGATTAGTTCACACTGGATTAGGAACGGCCCTAATGCAATGACTGTTGTCCTTAGAAGAAGGCCATGTGAAGACAGACAGACACACACACACACACACGAAAGATGGCCAAGCAACACTAAAGAACTCCAGGAGCCACCGGGAGCCAAGACAGGCAAGGCAGGACCCTTCCCTGGAGCCTTGGAAGGAGCACAGTCTGGGGACACCTTGACTTTGGACTTCCAGCTTCCAGCCAGTGAGGGACTAGAGCTCTATTGTTCTAAGCCCCCCAGTGTATGGTGTTTTGTTACTGCAGCTGCCGGGTACTCATACATCTGCAGGAAGTGGAAACCAAGGGTGTGCGAGAGCTGGGGCTGGGTGGACAGAGGAGTGGGCAGCTGGAGCTGTTGGCCGAAGACCACCTGGGGCTGCCCCGGGAGCTGCGCTGTGGGGTCAAGAACCAAAGCCGGAGGGAGACCAGAGTGAGGCGTCCTGGACGGGGCAGGCAGGGAGCCAGAAAGGGTCAGATCTTCTGTAATTTGTTTTTAACGCCATCTTTAGAATGCATTTTTAATGTCTCGTTTTGAAAGAATTAGTAACTCACAGGAAGTTGTAAAAAAAAAAATCCTTCCGGGAGGTCCCATGTACCTTTTACCCAGTTTCACCCAATCGTCATATCACTGGAGTCCAATGCCCCCACCTGGAAAACGACCAATCTCGGGTCTATTTTGAGAGGAAAATGGAGGGAACTTTCAAACGTCAAAGGTGAGAAAGGGAGATGTCACACCTGACTTCTGAGCTCGGGGCCTGGGCCCCTGGAAGAAGGGCGGGGCTGTTTACTAAGAGGGGAAACTGAGGCAGGGGAGGCAGGGGCGGAGGGAGCGCAGAACCTGCCTGGAGGGGAGGGTGGGAGGTGGCAGGAGGACACTGCCGCTGCGTTTGGTGAGGGGGGGCGACACTGACTGGGAGTCAGGACCCGCTCTGGCCCAGTACCAGCCTTCCTGGGTTCACATCCTGTCCCCACTGGTGTGATAAGGTTCCAAAGAAAGATGAAGCAAGAGACAGGACAAAGAAAGCCTGTCCTCGGGGAGACAGGAGAACCTGCGCAAGGACACCTGGCTTGGAAGCGAGGGGCATCCCCTGAACCAGGTGCGGCCACCCAACCGCCACAGATGCAGTGCCTCCCCCCTGGGCGGCCAGGGTCAAGGGCGGCAGAATCAGTGCTCCAGGAGCCCTGGGCCCGTCCGCATCTGGAATGAACTGCACCCGGAGCCTCCCGGACGGGCAAAAGTCAGGGAACCTGCCCTCCCAAGGACCGGGCCAGCTCCAGGGGTCCGCTTTGGTTTTTTAACAAGGAGCGTTTCAAAGACCAACCCCCCTCTGCACCCCCCCACCACTGTTTTCCCCTAAATTAACCCCTTTAACGTTCGCTCTCCTGCATTCTTGAGCGGGGTTTCCCTGAGTTCACCCATCGATAATTGGAGCGGTTCTGTAAAAAGAACCATTAAAGCTGAGCCCCTAGGATTTGCGTTCCCCCCTGGAAGGCTTTTAAGGGCAAAATAAAAATGCCTCGTCTGAGAGCACAATGCTGCTCTGGATACAGTAACTCTTGCAGTGGTGGCTGGGGGCGGGCCTGCTCCCGAGGCTGTCACAATGGCCAGGGCCCAGGGGCCCACTGCCTCAGCAGGAAAGTGGGTGACAGAGCAGAATGAAGAGGGTCTCCAGGTCTCTGCACCCGCCCCCACCACTGCCCAGCCCGTGCAGGCCAGAGACGGGTGAAGGTGCGCACTGGGCTCAGAGATGGGCGTGCGGAGTTCGGGCTCTTTGGGGGACCACGGGGGTATTGTACGGTGTGCAGCAGCATCCCTGGGTAGTCCCAGAAATGTATCCAAGTGTCCCCTGGGGGGCAAAACGTCCCAGGTGGAGAGCCAGGGCTTTCCTATACCCTCCCCAAGGTAAGCCAGGCCACAGGGCCAGGCACGGGCGAGTCATGCCGCCTGGTCTCTCCCTGCAAAGCCCGAGAGACGATGCGGGATGTTATTAACAGGAGATGATTCGGTTTGGGGGCACGGCTACCCAGGCACCTGAGCAGTGCGTGCATCTCTCTGGGTGCATCCCTCACCCAGTGTTGGGCCAGCGCTGCCCCGCGCCCTGAGGGCCCAGCGGGCCCGGGCTCTTGGGGGCCCACAGAAGGAGGGGCCCCTCAGATCCGCCCCAGAGGGAGAGGCCAAACATGATACAGTGCGATTTACAAGTGGGAGGAAAGAAATGTAAAGCTCCTATGAACATATGTGGGTTTGTTCGTATGTAAGTTCATTTTTATTTTAATATCCCCGAAAAGGGCCGGGAAAGCTTATCCTGGGGGAGAGGACATGTGGGTTGGCTGGGAGAAGAATTCCTTTTCATTTTATGATATTACATACATAGGTTTTACTTTGCGTGTGCAAACGTTCATTTGGATTGTTTGTATTTAAATGTCCAGGGCAGCCCTGACTGGTGCGGCTCAGTGGGTTGGGTGTCATCTTGCAAAGCCAAAGGTTGCCGGTTCGATCCCCAGTCAGGGCACACGCCCGGGTTGCAGATTCGGTCCCATTGTCGGGGCAGGTATGAGAGGCAACCAGTCAATGTTTCTCTCTTACATCGATGTTTCTCTACCTCTTTTTCTCCCTCCTTCCCCTCTCTCTCTCAAAAAAACCAAAATATTTGAAAATAAATGCAAGGGCAAGTCACACTGAACAGGGAGCCAGGACAAATGTATTAGGCAGACAGACTGAGGTGACTGAATTAATTGGAAAAAAGAAACAAACGCATACTATTTTAACAAAGGTCTGTGTCTGTAGCAAAGTTGAAAAGGATTTATATTACAGTTAAGGGTTAATAGATTTTTTTTTTTAAAAAAAACCTGAAGATTTTTCCAAGAATAGGGTTGTCAGATTTTGCAAATAAAAATACAGGACACCCAGTTAAATTTGAATCTCAGATAAAAGAATAATGTTTGCAATATGTGGGACGTACTTTTATTAAGCAATTACCTGTGGTTCAGCTGAAATTCGAGTTTAACTGGGCGTCCCACAGTTAGGCGAGGACGGAGAGGTTTACCAGGTGGACGATTCCGGCCAACGCGCTGCAGGCCGCAGCCCAGGGTGGGGGTCAGTGGGCACTGGATCTGCTGGTTTCTTCTTCAGTAGAGCTCACGGCTTGCCTCTCTCTCCGGTGTGTTTTGCTTCTTTTGAATTTTGCCTTTTTTTAATTTTACTTTTTAAATGAACATACAGTGAAGTTGACTTTTTTGTACACAGACCTGTAGATTTTATTTAACACGTGTGTGGGTCCATACAGTCTCCTACTAGGACACAGCGCAGCCCCAGCACCTCCCCCAAAGAACTCCCCTCTGCTGCCTTTTCTCTAAGTGCGTCCAGCCCAGGGTTGCCCTGCTCCCCAGGGGACCGGTGGCAGTGTCTGGGGACATTTTTGTTGTCACAACCTGGGAAAGGTGCTCCTGGTGTTGAGTGGGTGGAAGCTGGGGATTTCACACACAGGTCAGGCACCAATGCAGAGAGAGCTCCAGTCCAAGACATCAGCAGGGCCAAGGGGCACAACCTCTGCTAGCCACGCCCTCCCCCCAGCCTCCGCCAGCCTGTCCGGTAACTGCTGACTTGGTCTCATCTCTCTAGCTCTGCATCTTCCCAGCATCTCATATGCAGGGACTCCCAGGTTTTTGCACTGGCTCATTTTAATCTGCAAGCCTTTGCAATTCACCTGTGGGGTTGCAGATCTCAGCTTTTGTCCCTGTCATTTGCAGGCTGTTGATCTGTCCCTCCCTACCCACCAGGTGAAGGACCTCAGAGAGGAGCTTACAGGAATATTATGAGAAACGCCCAGGATGGGGTTTTGTGAGGCCTGCATTTTCATTTCCGTGACCAAAGCAGAGTGAAGTCCATCGTGGGGCCGATCTCCCGCCCCGTCCCTGCACACTCAGGTGTCCGCCTGCCCGGGAACCAGCGCTCCTGCTCCCTGCAGGGGCCAGGCAGCCACTCTGGAGCCCAGTGGGCAGGGCCCGCCCTCGGAGCTTTCGGCGAGGCAGCGGCCGGGCAGGCCCACCGCCATGCGCAGAGCCCTTGTCCCTGGTCCTCCACCCGAGGAGGCAGCCACTCAGACCCTTCCCAGCCTCACGTGCAGCTCCTTCCAGGATGGCTGCAGCAGGCGCCTCGGAAATGCCTTCCTCCCCAAAAAGGCAGGCACGAGAAGAGACCATCCTTCATCCAGCCCTACTGCTTCCTTCCTCCATCCTCAAGGACACCATCCCGTCGACGGTGCCGTGATAAGCCTCA